AATCCAAATATCTAAGTATACATTATATCATATTATTATTATATTACTTATTCAAAGTATGCCATCCGAAGAACCTTCGTCTGGAGATGCCATGGGCTCAGCCCTTAGGCCGCCCCTTCAAACCCCACGACACATGTCAACCTGGCATATCGCCGATCCCCATGACATCGCCACCAATTCCCGTGACAGATCAAAAATGTGAAGGATAAAAGGAAATACGACCAGGACGGGACTTGAACCCGCAATCTTCGGATCCGAAGGCCGACGCCTTGACCATTAGGCCACCCAGTCATCAAAAACAATTTCCAAAAAGTCTATTTAATACTAAAAAGGATTAAATTAAATTTAGGACCGATGGGCAGTGTTTCCGGCCACAGCGTGAGGCACTTCTGTGGATTAAGTAATGAAGATATCACAGTAGCGCATCTTTTAATGCTTACCTTGCGCAAAATTGCAAAGGAAAAGGCCACACACAGACCTTCACATCACAGGAAAATGGGGATGGGAACCAAGTGGACCACATCTGAAGTTGCCTGCAAGCGTATACATCGGAGTGTTTTGGTAAGCGGTATGCACACCGCGCTATCTTCCAGCGTCCGAATCACTAGAGCACATACCAGTTCTGGTGCCAGCTGTAGAGCGCGCCTCTGGCATGTGCTGTCTCTGTAGAATTCTCATAATATTCAAGTAACTGCAGGCCCCAAATATCGCCAGGAGGTGTCAATGAGACAACGGAGGGAGAGGTACTAAATGCTGCATCCTAATGTAAAGACATGGACAGTCAGGTTGACAGCGAGAGCGGCAAAGCCCCACCCATCTTCCTCGCTCGGCAATGATGGGCTAGATCTCCCCTCTCCCTCTCCATCACCGGCCTGTTAGCTGAAGGTCCAAGTCTGACAACGACAGTGCTCACTCAGCGGCTGCCAGACCAGAGCATGACACCAAGGCCTGTGCGGTGCCAAGGTCTGGGATTCGGTGTCATTGCGAGCTCAGCCACCGCATGACGCATGCGGGTTGCCTGTGGATTTAAGTATTTATCAAGGCCAGATGTCGCCTCGCTTTCCCTCTCCGTTTGCGGCCTGAATTATACCGTCCGTCTTTTCTACATCGAACCAAACTGACAGTCTTGCGATGGGCCAGTACGTCGAATTGCTGAACCACGAGTGGGAGTACGAGTGCATCGAGAGGATCAGGGTCCTAGAGGATCTGCCCAGGGCCGATAAGGCGATGAGGCTATTACGGGCGGTCGTCGACGAAGCGCATCCCACAATGAAGAAATATCGAATGAATGCCTATGTAGTCACCGAATTCTACCCCGCTGACATCACGCTGCAGGGGCTCAACAAGAGTAGGGGCTACGAAATCTTCCTGCGCCTGCGCGACGCGGACGATCCATGCCGGTTCCTAA